CCGGCGCAGCGGCTGGCCGCTCGCCCTCACGCCTTCCCTCGTCCTTGCCTGCCCTGCAGCCAGGTGCCAGCGTGGAGCGGGTCCTCTCCCGGGGCCACCCCGCACATCTGCGGCGCCTCTCCCACAGCGCGGGGCCATCAGGGCAGGACCGGGAGGCGAGTGCCAGCCTCTCGCCAGGTGCTCGCTCCTGCTCCCAGGCTGGTGTAAATCAGGGGTTCCCCTGCTGCAGGCAGTGGAATAGCTCCTGATTTACAACATCCTACACAAGAGGAGAACTTGACCTTACACTTCAACATCAGTGCAGCTTCCTTTGTTGAAAGCTTCTTAAGAAAGACATGTAATCAATCCTGGAGAGCCACCGAGCAGCAGAGCTCAGGTTCTGCATAACTCAGGGCTCGGCTTCCCGCGGAAATGGCCTGATCCAGGCTCCCATGACATCTATTCCTAGGCGCTCCCTGCATACTTTCTGACAGGAGTGAGTGTGTTTTTCTGTTTTGCCTTTGTCAAAAATGGGCTGCTTGAGATTAATACAATCCACAAAGAGAATTTTTCCGTAATAAGTCCGACTTACCTATGCTACTAACCTTTCAGACAGACAGGCTCAGGTCTTTGGAAATTCTGGCCTTTATAGGTATTTGATGTTATTTTAGAATCCAAGAGGAAAAAGCTTACTGCCTTGCCTCTGTTTTCATGGCCATAATTATGAAGGCAGTCTGGTGACGTAATTTGTTTGGGAAATAAATGATAGCTTTCAACAGCTAGTCCTGTCAGACACTTCGTTCCTTGTAACTATTTTAGAAAGCCAAATTCATTTTGCACTTCCACAGCACCAGATGCTGTTCTTATTTATGCTTGTGTAAATCCCGTGCTATGCCACTACCTTCAGGAGACCTACTCCGTGTTTACACTGCGTGCGAGGCAGCAGAATTTGGCCCGTGGTGTAAGTCTACATACGCCTTGTGGCGTGATCGGCTAGTCCAGTAAATACAACGGGAGAACTGGGCTGCAACCCCAGCACAGCACTGGCCATTGCGGGGATGGGCCAAGCCCCAAAAGATCTCTTTAAGAATCAGCAGTTACAAGTAGAACCAAAGACAGCAAGATTATAATAATAATTAATAATAATGATGATGATGATGATGCTTAGCCCTGTTCTTCCAAGCTTGATGCAGTCCTGACTCCTCATGGCACCTCTGGGGCAAGGAAGGATCAGCATTCCCTCTTGAGACATGAGGAACTGAGATACAGAGGGGTGACAAGCTCTACCAGCTCAAAAGCTAGAGAAAAAAAGAGTGAAACCAAGTGGGTACACAACACAGGTACAAGATAAACTGTTTTTCGTAAATTCTGTGGGAACAGTTGGCTTTTGAAGATGAACACACCTCCCCCCCCGGCCCCCAGTTTTGTAACCCAAATCCTGCGGAACTGAGGAGCTGAAAGGTGCATTGACACAAACAAAACAAAGAATGAAAAGAGGGCATTTTTTTTGTTATTTTTATTAATATCCTAGAGAAGACCATGTGGGCAGTAGCCTCCTCGGCCCTCTATGACTGCTGCGCTGCTGACCCGGCGGGGGTCAGGCGCTGCTGGCTCCCAGACCTGTGGTCAGACCCGCAGCTCCATAAAGCAAAAAAAATGCAGCCAGCGCTGCTCGCTGGCAGGACACGGCTCACGACAGAAACGCTGCTGAAACGGTGCCAGTTTTCATAGTCAAACAAACTCACCTTTGTCCTCGCCACAGACGCGCTCGCAGGCATTTCTCCCCCTCTCCACTGTCTGGAGGCGAGTCGGCATTTCTGTCTCATTCAGACACTCGCCAAGTTTTAGAGCCTGTTTTGGGCAATTGTTTGGTGGGGCTGAGCCTTTGCTGGAAAAACTGGCTGCTTTCCTCCTCGCCCTGGTTTCACGCAAGTACGTGCCATTCTGGAGACAAGCCGGTTGGGGGTCATTCCCCTCGGAGCTTCTTGCACCGTGAGGACCTACCTTTGGCATCACGAAGCCACGGGGATCTCTGCCAAGGCCTCCGGTGGTTGTGCTTGGGAGAGGTCTGCCCACCACCAGCAGAGCCTGTACCCGATTGCTTTAAACCCTGACTGTCCTCTCTCATTTTGGACTTCAGGAACTGTTCTCTGCCATCCGGCTCTAGAGAAAAGGCTTCTAGAAGGACCTGCTCCAGGGAGGGAATGACCTTGCCAAACCCTCCCTCCAGCACGGACCAATTTGAGGGAGATCCCCCCCAGGAGATTTCCTCAGGCTTGCTGTGCCCACAGCGTGCCCAGGACAAAAGGCAGCACCGACACGTCTCCTCCACCAGCCCTAGGAAGCTGGGGCGGCGTCTGGCTCTGTTTAAATAAGGCAATTTTAGCTACAGGTTCTATTTGTGCATTTATTTAAGATCGCTAAAATTTTCCTGTCCCTTCCTAGCCCTCATCCCAGCCTCGCCACCCCCAGGGCCGGCACCAGCTCTCCAGTCGGATGATTTCTGTGTCAAAGCAGTGAAATACCGTACCCACCGCCGCCCTCTCCGGCGTTGCTGAACGAGCAAGGTGGGACTGCCCGCAGCCCCCAACCCTCCTCACGGCTTTATTTTCTGACGAGCCAGCTGATACGGGCATTTAGAAACAAGAACTGTCACTTAAATAAACATGGTGCTATGCAAAAAACCCAAACCCAACAGAGATTAATTTCACGTTCACCTATAATTACACTGGCAAAGGAGAGCGGACCTAAGAAATCCCATCTTAAAATAAAATTAAAGCCTGCTTCAATTCTTCGTCTAGCCCATTTCTTCTACTAATGGCGCACACGCATTTGTACATGTTATTATATTGACATTGTAGCATCCTGAGCAAATCAAATTAATTCAAATATCTGCAGGTTCGAAATGTTGTAGCTGAGAAATAAGCACATAAAGTATATGCAATTTTCCCCTGGCAGTTTATTATGGTATGAAGAAAAAAACATTCTGTGCTTGAAGCTGACATTATATTACAAATGTATTGCGAAGTATGACGTGACTATTAAAATATGATTACAGAAAGTATGAACATTTTAAGAAGTTTACAGTACAGTGAATCTTTTATAAACAGACTCTTAAATATACATAGGACAATAGTAGCTGACAGAAAAACATCAAAAATTAACTATTAATGTTTATAGACTTTTCCCCTGAAAAAAAGTCTCACATTAAAACAGAAATTATGAAAAGCCTTAAAACCAGGAACAAATCACCTGTACACTACAAATATACATGGCAGAGGTGCGCAAACCAGAGCTGCCTGTTTGCTGAAGGGTACGGTCGCCAGGGTCTGCCCAGCGCCTCCCGGCCAGCGTCACCCCGTCAGGCAGCGCAGCGCGACGCCCAGACACACACGCACAGCCACGCCGGTCGGCAGATGTCACGCCCCCAGCACACACGCACTGCAGGACGCGGACGACGCGTTGTCAGTGTCGAATGCATCTACCGGAGTGGATCAAGTCAAGAACTTGCCCGGGATCTTGCAAATGGATCTCTGCGGGCAGATCCCCGGATGGGACCTACATACCAGAACCGGGTTGGCAAGACTGAGCTACGAGGGAATCGGCGGCTCCTTTTATGGATTTTTTTTTTTTTTAATGCAACTTTTCAATCTTTCCTCTTGATATGAGAGAACAGATGCCACATTTGATTTCTGCTTAGTCTGGTTGCAATGACACCCCTAGTTCATGTGTTAAGTTATGTCAAAAACATAAGTATTTTATGCTGTAATACACAGTATTACTGAAACTAACAATATTATTTGCATATTTATAACAAGGTATAATGAAATCCCTATAATAAAACCAAAAGTTATGCTATAGATTTATTTACAAACAGTCCAGCAAAGAAGTATAAATACTTCTACATTTAAGGTTTAGGAAAACATAATTTACAAAATATTCAAATATATACAGTCATCTGAAAAACTGCCAATATTAAACTTCGATGCAGGCAAAGAATTGGCTGAGTCTATTCATTCTGTATTGAAAGAGGCGGCGGCTTTCACGGGTCGTCTGTTATTTTCAAAAGTCACACGTATGTTATTTACAACGAGACTGCTTCTCTCCAAGCTAAACATGTCCGGAGCTTTGAGCGTGCTGTCCCAAAATGTCGTCTATCATTGTCAGATTGTTCAACCACTCTTCGTCGTTGCTGCTGCTGCTGTTCTTCATGAGGGAGTCAAGGAAGTCGGTGTCACTGCAGTTGGCGGGCATGACGGAATTGCTGTGCTGGGACACAAAGTCGTACTGCGGCAGCTCGGCAGCAGCGCTCATCCTGTTGAAGGCGTCAGGGGGCTGGCCCGCGGAAGGGTAGCTCGGCGGGCCGAGGCCCGAGGCAGGATTGAGCTGGTTAAAACTGGACACTCCTTGTGGCATGGATTTCATAACATTCATAGCTGGCAACGGTCCTCTGGTTAAATTGTGTCTCAAGTTCTGATTACTCATGGAGCTCAAGCCCTGGCCAGACTGCCCCATGCTCAGTTTTTGCATCTGTCTGACCTGGACGCCGGGAGCGATCTGATTAGGCGGCACCACGGCCTGCTGGGAGAACTGCTGACCTGGCGCGCTCGGTCTCACGTTCTGTTTGGAGAAGAGAGTGTTACCAGAGAACTGCTGCATGCTGGTATCCATTTGGCTTTGATTTGGCATTCTTGGCACGGCGGTTGGTGTCCACATCTGGGCAGACGAGTTGGGGTAGACGTTAGGGATTCTTGGCACACTCGGCTGCCTCAAGTGTTGCTGAGTTGCAGAGTGATTTGCTAAGGAGCCAGAACTGAAGCCCGCCATCGGCAAAAAAACGGAGTGGCTGTGTACTGTTTGGCACCCCGAGTTCATGCCCAGCGAATTCTGGCTCGGCCGCAGCGGGATGTTAAAGTCAGAATTAGGCGGGAAAATCCCCTGCTGCTTGCCAGGGTTGTGTGGAATCATCACCATCGTCCCGCTGCTCTGGCTGGCGGTGGCTGGGGCCATGCCAGAGCCCAAGGTGCTCTGGAGCATGGCTGGGTTAGACGGCAGCATGCGGTGGTTGGGCGGAGGAGCTGGCATCACCTGGCTGCAGTCAGCGGGAATGGGCTGCTGCACGGCTGCGTACAAAGAGACACGTTAGCCGGGGAGCGCGCGTTCACCCCAGAAACATGGCAGAGCCTCACGAGGCTGCTGCTCCCTCTTTCTCTCTCATTACATGGGCCTCTCCTCTGTATTCTCTGTAACAGAGTTACTGCTGGAGTGGTAAGGGAATGGGGGAATCTCATGGTAGGTGATAAAATGTGTAATGTTTCTATTTTGGGGCAGAGAATCATTAAGCACTCTCTACTTAATGAGACCCGATGCCCTGGCTCCTCGACGCTTTTCATAGCACGCCATTTCCCCCCTTACCTTGAAACTGATTTATCTGCTGAGCCGCAAACAAACTCCTCTGCTCAGACGTTACTCCCAGCATGCTCTGTCTCTGCTTTTCCTGGAAAACAAGGGGCATAATAGTCAAGTTGCAGTCTCTTGACAAACAAGAATAGCAGCAGACACCTGAAGTGTAGCCACTGTCATCATTAACAACCTCTCTCGTGTGTACGTACGTACACCCCCCCCCCCACCATGTCCTGAGATGCAGACTGCTGGCGTCTCCCCAGCGCCTCTCGTGCTGACTGACTGGATGTGTTCTCTGAAGAACCAGATCCGGGGACAAAAGGTGCCCAAAAGTCTATTAGCAAAGAGAATCTGCGGCAGCATTGACAAACAGGAGACTGCTGGTGGCCATCGCCCCGTCTGGAGGATGGCTCTGCTCGTGTGTACCATCCCCTTTTGTGCTGGTGGCCACTTCTAACCAGAACTTAGCGGTGACCCACAGGAAGGCAGGGGTCCTTGGCAGGTGCTCCCTGAACAAGGCATTGCTGGCTTTCTCCAAGTGACCTGATTTGCAGCTCCCACCCCAGAACCCACCACCGTACTCGCACCCCTGCTGTGGACGGCAGCTGTGACCTGGGGAAGTCTCCGTGGACCGTGGAAGCTGAGGCCTGGCTCGCGCTCTGTTAGAGCAGCACAGATAAGCTTGAAGCCAACTGATGACAAGGAGGCAGAGTTGGTTTTGAAAGGGAGTTTGATCAATGAGCAGGACAGTACTTTGCTAAGGGATTTACCGAGCTACTTGTTGTCTCATTTGCCATCCAAAGAAATGAGCCTCCTCGACCCAAGTCCAGCAGCACGCTCAGAAAGTCAGAGGCGCGTGTTCAGTGCTGCCTCACCCAAGTCATGCGTGGGATTCCCCCATCCCTGCTCCTTCAAACAGCACGTTACAATCCTCACGCAGGGATTTCTGTTGCTAGAGAGACCATCCAAGTCCAGGACAAACTGGAGTCTGACATCTGCTCTGGTAAATCCCCAGGGAACCAGAGAGAAAGGCAAGCATGGAGAAGATCTCTCCCAGGGCTGACTCACTCTCCCAGCCTCCCTTCTCTGCATCGTCCCTCCCAACTTTGTGGCTGACCAAGGATGACGGCAGTGATACGGAGGTGACTGAATCCTTCCCTTGCATGTGAGTGGGCAGATCTGCGCTCGGACTCACTGAGCAGCACTTGGCCTCTCTTGGGCATGACATCCTGGACTCACCACAGCCCTAGTCTGACTCAGCCCAGCGATTCCTGGGTCACTCCTTCGCGTTTGCTGACTGGTGATTTCCCCATTCCAGTTAGTCCTGTCCTTCCCAGTGAGGTGGACAGCGCAGGGACCCACAGAGGCACTCGACATCGTACCTGCATCAGCTGTCGTTTCATTATTTGCTGCTTCAGTAAATGGTTCCTCATCGTGTACCCATTCACCGTGGCTGGTGCCGGCACAGAGCCGCTGCTTGGGATGGAGGCCGGCTCCTGAAGTCTGGCAACAATTCCAGCATTTTGATCCTGCCAAGAAAGATGAAAAAAAGAAAATTAATCTCATCAGGGAGGTAACAACAGAAGCCCTTATCCTGTCTGCTGATGCCCTCTCTGCGGTCTCCGGTCCTTGGCTATCCCAAGGCCAGAATACCTTGTGCATTCACATGGACCCGCATGTCACGGTGAGGAGAGCGAGGGGCAGGGTCTGCTGTGATTTCTGAGGATCAGCACAAGAAGAAGTGAGAGAAGCAAAAGGTCAATCCAAAATTCTTTGTGACTAGCCCAAGGCTAGGGCACTGATTCACTACCATTACTGGAGTCACATGGCTGCCTGGCTGGCAGAAGGGATGTGAGTAAAGCGTCACATTTCCCACCAGTTCTCCAACTGTTACACTGAAAGACATAAGGAAAGAAAAGTTGCATCACGGTAAGATTTGGCAATTGGATATAAAGGAGAAGCCTACAGGAAAAGAAAGCAGCAAACTAAAGGCAGAAGAGGGGAAAAGGTACCATCAGACCAGGGACCTGGAAAGATGGGGAAGATGTGGGCCTGGGACTGAAGTGGTCCTTGTGGGTTCCATGATTGGGCAAACGAGGAGAACCAATTGTGAAAGGAGAGGAGAACATGCAACAACGCAGGGTCAGGTCATGTCCCGGCACAAATCAGGAATGCAGCGGGCCTGACTCCTGGCTGGTGCAAACTGGCCTCGCTGTAAGTCCTCAGTGAAAGATCTGGGTTGACTCTCACCAGCTGAGGACTTGCCTCCAGAGAAGGTGCATTGTGGGGAGAAGGAAAAAAAAATAATTCACAAGAACATCATGAAGACACAACCCAAAAGGGAAAAAGAATTTAAAAAAAACCCTCAAGTCTAAACATCTCAGGAGCTGGCAGGTAGTCAGGGAAATACAAGAGAAAAATGAGGGAAGAAGTCAAGGACGTACGGAGGACAAGATTCTGTAAGTGCCGTACCCAGGAACAGCAGTACCACTGTATTCCCCTTTCTTCATTTTCACATCCAGCTTCTACATTATTTATGATGTTTTGTTATTATTGGCAGGGAGAAGCATGTATATTATATCCAGCATCCTTAGCTGGGCCATGCTTCCTTTGTTTTCAGAATGGAAGCCCACATCCTTTGTTTGAGAATCAATGTTATCAGGAGATAAGCAAGAAGAAAATGGTTGCTGCCTTTTGACATCTGACAATTAGAAGCATGCTCAGATGGAGAAAACAGGATACGAGCCATGTTTCAGAGCGGCCAGAAGAAAGCCTTGGAAGGCATTTGTTACCAGGCAAGCTTCTCGGGCCTGGGGCACCTTTCCACAGCAGCTTCACCATGAGGAATCACCCAACTCCTTCCAAGATATTCTTTGTAAGAGTGATTACCAAGAAGGTCACTGAAATTACTCATTTTTATGGCACCTCCTTTTGTTGTAGCACTTTGGTCTATTATGCAAAAGCACAACTGATGAAATGTAAATGCCTGCTAGATAATTTACTAAAAGACACAAACCTGCAGCTCATCACTGCTCTCATTATCATTCCTATTCATGGGCAGTCTCATAAGACCAGACTTTATTACTGGTGCTTTGCTTACAATTTCGCTGGACATCTCTCCTCCTCCCCCTTCCCTCCTACCCATTTTACTCCCTCTCTCCCCCAGAAAAAAGAAGGAGGGGAGGAAAAAAAGTAAATATGATTTACTACAGATGTAAATATGAAAGTTCATGTAAAGCTAGCACGCTGCTTTCATGTCAGACAGCGTTCTGCAGCCATAGTTAAGCTTTGAATAATGCAGATTGCCTCTGGGGGAATATTTGAAAGTGCAGGGATTCAGTTTGTGTACTCTGCACATGAAAGACACTGAAATGTTCATACCACCAAAATCCCTGCCATCTATCCAATTTCCTCCAAACTTGTCTTGTTGCGTGCAGAGGGTCTGTGCTTACTGAAGCAAATGAGTTTAGTGCAAGGACAATCATTCTGGTGTCTCGCTCAGGGCTATTGCATTAACAAGTCGTAACATTAAAGTCTCTTTTCCTAATCATGTCCACCTCATTCTAATTTCTCCTAAACATCATCAAGAAAAGAATGTTGATTTTTCCATATTATTAATGGTAAAGAAGTGTAAATCACATTACTAATTGCGGCTCTTGCGCTGTGGTAGTACAACAGCTTAATTATATAGGATTTTCTGCAGGCACCCTATAGCAATAATGACAATCAGTGAAGTTCATTTGCAAATACATGGAATGGGTTGCTGAGTTTTTCAGAGCAAAGTTGTATAACACTTAATTAGCCAGTAAAGAAACAATCTATAGATATAAATTTTGCTTTTGGGGAAATTAGGACAAAAGCATAGATGGGAAACACAGAATGAATTCAAATCTTGCTTTCTACAGTTCACATTTAGGTTAAGACAAAAAAGAAAAAAAGAAAAAAAGGGAAAAAGTTCTCTCTTTTCACCACTAGTGGGAACTACTGTATTCCCTTACAATAAAAAATAACCACCTAAACGTCACGACTAAGAATAGCTCTGGTGTAGTCTAAAGGACGCTGCTATCTGTACCAAAGGTTGATGAACTTTAAACATTTTTCCTTTTCATCACTCCCCAAGAAAAAACACTTTCCTTCCCATAGTAAGGCCAAGCCAAACAAGCCATAACCTTAAGTTGTCTTTAGTTTGGACTATCCCATTTTAAAAGCCACGAAGACAGCAGAAAGAGGAGGACTGCAGCGTGGAAGTCGGGAACGATGGAAGCGGGTGTTCATACCCAAAGGGTAGTGCGGCTGAGCCAGCTGTAAGCTATGGATACAGATGGCTACAGGGGATTCTTATTCTTCAACTTTTAAAAAAAGTCTTTGCATGTAGGTATCAGGTTTTTTGCCATTCTTCCCTCAAAAAACTCGTATTAGAACATCAAATCGGCAGCATCCCTAGCCAAACAGCACGCCACGCAGACCCGGAATTGGAGAGCATGTGTTTGAGCGCGCCATTCTGTTGCTAGGCAAACTGCCGCCCAGCAGGTCCGGAGCTCCGGCAGCACTCCCTGGCTTCCCAATGTGGCAGTTTCTGTTCAAAAAGGCCCTGGGGCTAGCTGCGCAGTTTTGACTTAGTATCTCACACGCTAGTTTTGGGAGCAAGGAGGAAAGAGCGAGGTTGCAGGTTTGCAGGAACGTGTACTGTTTGTGTCAGGAATCGGCCACTGACTGTAATCGTAACAGCCGTCACACAGCCCAGTGAAACCAGTCCCAGCCTGTGTGCACTGGCAGGCTGTTCAGGCTGGGCAAACGCATCTCCAGATTACTGCATCCAGTTGTAGTGAGCGTGGCTCCGGGCCGACAAAACATTCGGGCACCTAGCTAATGGTAAGTGTGTGAACGGTCCCACTGAGACCTACCGCGTGTATTTATGAATCTATGTCCTTCTAAACATCCACGGAGGAGCTCGACCTGCCCAGCCCCATCATCTGATTATGTACAAGATGCACAACTGCAGTAAATAAGCGCGGAGATGAATTGTTCTGCGTGAACGTGGCTGATAAACTCCACTCCTCGGCACTTAGTTATATATCCAGTAATCACTTTGTGGCTTCAGTTAAGCGAGAATGAAGAAATTTATGGCCCCTAATTCCTCTGAATCCTCATTAACAAACAGTCCAAAAAGAATTTAAAAGCAAGACTTTCTGAGGATCTGAGCTAGAGCTTTAATCGCTCTTTGGCAAATATGTAAAAATCCCTCTAATCTTTAATAAAGAGCATTCATTGTTTTTTAGGACTATGTGAAAATACTAAACTCATTTATCATTATTAAACTTTCCCATCTGCTTTTACGGTGTAACTCCAAAGAATATAACAAAGAAATGTACATGTTAAATTGTATTGACTTAAGCCCAGAGCTATTGGAGATGTACAATTTATTTCAGTGAGGGCATGAAGGGGACTGCAGGCTGCTAGACAGAGTCATTTGTTCAATGCTGAAAAGACAGTTATCTGCACCAAAATGGCTCTTGGAAAGGCACATTTGCTTTATAAGAAATAAGCTGCCAGGTGAGACCATTCAGCATTATGTTACAGACCCAGACAATAAAACTAAGCCATGAATTTCAATAGTTAACAGATGGACTAATTAGAGACAGAATTCTTTGTGGTTCTAACAGATAACCAGGTCACAGCAAGGTTACTGAGAGACAGAGAGCTTTGCAAATTTCGGTAGATATTTGCAGAGCTGGGGAAGAACTGCACTTCCTAACTGAAAGCGTTAGCAGCAGTGGAAGAACAGAAACGTGTCTAATTAAAAATGCACATAGTACCTGCGCTTAAAAAGTTTCTTCCATTTCAAAAGGCACTGCTGGTTTGAGAAATATTCCCTCTGCTTTCAGTGGGGCATCCAGCTGAATCCAGTAATTATAGAGTTTAAAAGAGAAGGGTTGTTGAGATGAGCAGCAGCACCCCAGAATAAAAGGAAAAGACCAAAGGAAAAGGGTACCTCAGGGTAGATGTTGGCTGTAAATACGAGAAAGGGACAAACTGCTTTTTCCACTTTTTTTTTTTTTTTTTTTTGGTAACCAAAGATAACTTAGCTTGAAGTATTTACCAAGACATCACACAGTAAAAAAAAAGCCAAACACCAAAACCAAAAACAGAGAGGGAAAGACATGGCTGTGGGACTTGACTGTGCTACTGATCAGGGACTTTAGGTGGGTCCGTATTCACAGCAGGGACAGCTACTCTCTAGGGGTGGGGTGAAGTTTCATTAACCGAGTTTTGTTCTGTATTTTAAGAACATCTGTTACGTATGGGGAGTTCTGTACTCTGCTGAGGAAATGCAAATACTAGTTTCAAACGAATGCCTTTGTGTTTCCCCGTGCTCCTGCTTGCCTGCCGGTGCATCGTCTCCTGTCTAGTAGGTGCGTTCATGTCCTCGCTGGGGCTTTCGTGCCTGGGCAGCGCTTCCCTCTGAAGTCCAGGACAAAGACTCCTAGGCCTAATGACTCTACAAATACTACAAACCAAGCAATTACAA